CGGAGATTAGCATCCGCAAGGGTGTGAACTTCGGGATACATCGTCGTCTCCTTGTGCCTCGGTTATCTCTTACCCGAGCCCTTTACTTATGCACTTTACTTTGTGATAGCCATATTGTTTCGTGTCATATATCTTGCTATCACATAGTTGCTTATCTTTCTTAGCATAAGTTGTTGGTGCACATAGGTGAGCCTAGTTGTTTTAGGTTTTGTGCTTAGCAAATTAACCGCTAGGTTTATTCTGCATTTGTTCAAGCCTAAACCGTAATTATTTTAAAACGCCTATTCACCCCCCCTCTAGGCGACATCCACGATCTTTCATTAGGTGGCTTAATGGTTGGTCATTTTGCAGAAAAACTAAGGAAGTCAAAACACTTTGAGGTTGGCCATAAACATGTTTGAAATGATAACAAATGAAGTCTTCAAATTGGTGTATGGCTAGCGGGTTGGGATGAATAGGATCATGGCTGAAGATGGTGTTGTTTTCTTCCCTACTTGGCAATTTATGCGAATGTGGTGGCTGGTTATGTAACATAAAACTGCTCATGTTGGATGTGCTAGATGCAACACCCGAATTTTTGCATGTACCTCCATGGGTGATTATCTTCTGCTTTTAAGGATTCGGCTTGTGGATGCCAAAAGCATGAGAGTTAAGTTCATCCTTAGGTATCTATATCTCGCTTGCTTTGTTTCTTTTGGTAGTTTCTATGAGACATTGTAATTTAAGTTAAATGAAATCAGAGAGGAAGTTCACTTTATAAAATAAATCCATTGAAGACAGAACCTTTGTAGTCATCCAGAACATGGTGAGGAAAAAGAGCTACAAACCATCCTACCACACTTGGGGATGCATCACCCAGCAGCCACCATTCATGAATGAACAGAGGCCCGATTAGTTCTGGTACTGTGTTGCTCCCCTTTGCACCACTACTATCCCTGCAACGTCACTTTCTCCCCTCTCCATGGCCTGCCTTCATCCACCTTCAAGTTGCTCTCTCATGCAGCTGCCTTCCATCCCACCGATCTATGTCGCCGTGATCATAGTCGATATACTGTTGTGGCAGGCTAAGAGGAGATATGTGTGTGGGCACGAGGTTCCAATCTGCCAGTACCTCTATACCCTTGCTCCTCCACTTAGGAAGCACCAGACTCCCTCCCCTCATCTACTCTCCATCGATTCCCCTCACCAATTTCCCGGAGATGTCATTGACAGAATCAAAAGTGGATGATATAATTTATAAGCATTCTCTCGCCTCACCCCGTCTTCTGAAATTTGGTTTTAATTTTCATGTCCTATGGACTGAGATGGGCGACATGATTTTCATATCATGCCCTGAGTTATTTGTTGCAACCTACGATTTTAGAAACTGTATTATATCATGTGAGTTATCTGTTGTAACATACAATTTTAGGACAAGTGATTGTTCAATAATTTAAATTTTAATAAGCTTACAAGTACCAATGCTTTTATTAGTCAATAGTTTGCATGAGGGTAATCTATCATGATTCACTTAACAAAGAAGGAGAGAAACATGTTTTCATAGAAGGAGAAGAATAACTCTAGGATCTCTCCCGCACACATGTTTCTAAAATCAGGTAAAGTGAAACGAATATTTAGGTCATTATCTCTCTTTTTAGTGCACAGATGTTAAATTTCCTAGAGGTAAACGACATCTACAACCATATTAGTGTGTTTTCTGGTGATCTTAAAAAATATGACTTCTATAGGAATGATTGAAAGTTAAATTAAAAAACATAATACATATATACCTATAGTTGGTAGCATATATGTAGCTTATGGAGATTTCATGTCATATACATATAAGTAGAAATTTGGAGATCCCTTATAGCATCAGAACCACAACTATCTACTCTTTTTATTTACTATTTTAATTAAGGTATAAGATGCAAGTTACTTATTGTTTCCTCACTTTCTGATTCTTAATTGGTATGAAGAATGTGTGTGATCCCCAAATGAAATATCATGCTACTCATCCTTGGTTGTATAATGATCCATGCATAGTGAGGAATTCATGATACCTTTTGTGCAAGCATATGAGGTTGGTTTATGTTGTGTGTTTGATGAGTATATTGTTGAGAGGATTTCTGCAGCAACCAAACATGAGAAAACTAGTCAACGATTTATATCTCCTCGACACATGCATAATGGCAGCAGATCATAGTGAGCAATGAGGAACCGACACTGATAGGAAAAAGAAATATTTGACTTGTTGCTGCCACAAGAGAGGACCGTCAATTTTTAGTAGATATGTACGTATGATGTACTCCCTCCATCCCATAATATAAGAGCGTTTTTGACACTACACTAGTGTAAAAAACACTCTTATATTATGGGACGGAGGGAGTACTTATGATATTGTTCATTGCAGAACATTTTTAACCTTTCATGCTACATTACTATGTTGTAACCAATAATTGTGCTTCATGCACATGAAATTAGTATTTTTTGTTTAACAATGTTTATTTTTCTTTCGATGTAATAACGCAATTTTAGTATCAAGTGACTGTTTCACATTCTTAAATTCACAATGATCTCAAAGGTTAGATATCCATGATGCAAACAACAAAATTAGAAGCTGGGTGGTGAGTTTTGATTTCTCTTTTGAGAAGACGAGTGTATCATGGAACAAAAAAAATATTTCGAGTGGCTAGAAAGGAAATCCAGCTGACATGTTTGATTGGAATAAAATGTATGTTTTTTCCAAATACGCAACAACAACTTGAATTGCCAAATTTGGCTTATTTGTGGGGCATGTAAAGTGGTATTGCTTTCTCCTTCAGTTATAGGATTCTACATAGCTAAATGACATCCACTCTTTTGAAAATAAACCTTTTAAATCTTTTGATTTTTGACCATAAGATGACATCAAGAGAGAGGAAGGAGAAAGTGGTGCATGGAAACTTATACATTGGCTATACTATTGCACGGAAACCCAACCCAATGGACGAGCGCCATCATGGTCTAGTCAAATCATAATGTGTGCAGAGACAATGAGATACCCCGGGCACAAGGCAAGGATAATAGTTTAGCTGAATGATGACTATATGCAGTTGACATGTCATCTGAGCCATCATGTATAGTATAGTAAGGTACTACCTCCGTCTGGGTTTATTGGCCCCTTTCATATTTTTGCCAAATTTGTACCTTATATTTGCCTGGCAAAATATAGGTTCTATGTAACAAAACTTATAGTGTTGAATTTGCATTTGAAATAAGTTTCCAATGTATCACTTTTATGGGATATAACTTACTTTTTGCTAGTTAAATCCAAGGTCAAAGTTTGACCCAAAATACAAGGAGGACTAATAAACCCGGACAGAGGTAGTAGACTATTGGTTTTCAACATTCTCTCTTGCTCTTTTTTCGTATGTATAATATTTGCCTAGGAGCACACATAGAGCATGACTCTTGCTTGAAAGCTCACCCCTTTGTTTTTTCTAGATCTCTCCTTCACATATGCAAAAGTGTCATACAAGAGGGTTATAATCTCCTTATTATACTTATTCTCATGAATCTACATTGTACCGTGGACATATCGGTATCTATTTTCTCTGTGAGAAAATGAATTCTTATAACATGTAAAACATTCAAGTCTTGGAGCCCATGGTTGGCAGACCAATGGTGAGCACTCCTACTTTTGTTGTTTCTTCGCTAGCATCGGGATTAATGCCGAGACTTGGGCCATACTTGACACAACCCAGGCCCGACATGACCCAATGGTTGATGTGCCAGGCTGGCATGGCCCAAGGTAGCATGTTGTCCTGGGCCTAAGAGCTGAGTGCAATGGGCAACACGACCCTAGACTACATGATGGGCCAGCACGAACACGACCTGACATGGTGAAGGCCCACAATGTCATATATGATTGTAGAGAGCACCACTGTCTCTCCCAACACATCTAAACGCACTATAGTTTGCATTATACATCAAGTGAAAGCTAGACAGAATATCTAGTGATACCAATACTAGAATACACTCATGTTCCCATTCTAAAAGTATCAATTTTTGTTGTGTTAAAAAGTTCTGATTTTTTTTGGGGATGTCCACAGGACACGTATGTGCAATTCTTGAAAAATTCAAGTCATAATTCAAAATCCATAAAGAGACACAACAAAGACAAATCCAGCATGAAGAGTGTCAAATTTTTATTTCTGTCTTTTTTGACACTATTGATGCTGGATTTATATTTGTTCGGTATCTTTTCTGTATTTAGAATTTTGATTTAAAAAAGCTTAGGCATTATAGACATATGTCTTGTGAACATATTTTTTTGACACACTTAACTTTGATGTTTTCAAAGTGTGCTGATATCACCTGATACTTCCCCACAAGTTCTTCTAAAAAAGACTATGCGTGAAAGCCACATAGCTTTGACTGGTCAAAATCAGATCCCAAATCATGTACTAGTATTCCTCTTTCTCTCCCTTATCTCGTCTCTCTCTCGATAACTTCACCCTGGACCTCAGCGCCGCCACCTCCGTCTCCATCGCATTCCCTGCTGCGCTGCCCGCGAGCATCCCCCCAGAGTCCACCTCGATGTCACGGGCGCCCGTCGCCGCGCCTCAGGGCACTCGGCGACCACAGCAGCAGCGGCCATGGCGGACGGTGGCCACCGCGGAGCCCGGGCGCCTCGTTGCGTCGCGCGGCGCCCAGCTAATCAGCGACGATCTGCTTGAGCGTGACCACGACGACAGAGTCCCTGGCGGGGCGGCAGGAGCCGGCACGGTCTGACGACAGCACGACACGACAGGCTGGCCCGAGCCCAACGCGGCCCGGCCCGAAGCACGGACGCGCCGTGCCGGGCTAGCCCGACCCGGCCCAAGTCTCCGCATAACTCGAACATGGATGCTCTCTGGATCTGGGGATGGTCAGCTTGTCTTGTTGTCCATCCTCACCTTGCAGCGTCCGTCCACTCTTGTCCGGCGTCACAGCTCACTCCTTCACCAGCAGGCAGGAGCTAGTGCTGCTGCGCGTTGGCCATGGCAGCGATGAAGCCCGTCCTGTACAGCGCGGCGATCAGCTCCTGCTCCTACCGGGTCCGCATCGCCCTCACCCTCAAAGGTAACCAAAAAACAGAGCCACCACCCATCGAATCCTTGTTCCCCTTGCAGAGAGCTACCACCATGTTCACTGAAAGTAACTGGGAAGATTTCTTTGGGGGTTAGCGATTAGGTGTATGCCATGGTCGTTCCCAAGTGGTGGCGATCTCTTTCCTATGATGAATCCGGGCACAATCCATCGTTGCTTTAGTCCAAAAGGTCTTTGTGGGGATGATTAGTTCCTTTGCTTCCAGGGATTTGTAGCTACTGCTATGAGTGAACCAACTATTTGACTTGTGGAAATGTTGGTCCAGCCGTCGTGGGGTCAAGTAAAAATGCGCAGCTTTGCATATGTTAAAATGGAGTATTTAAATCCTTATTAACCCAAAGTTGGAGTAGGCAGAGCCAATGGCTTTGTTTAGGATATACTAGTATAATTGTAACGAAACTCGATCAACCCAAAATATATTATAAAGTCTCAGTATTGCTAAAACCCGACCGCCAGTTGAAGCACTCAAGTTTAAAGCATTTCTATTGAAAATTTTCATTGTTATTTGCTAACTGTACTATCTTCTCCATAATGAAGGCGTGGAATATGAGTACAGGGCGGTGGCATGGAATGATACAGGTTAGTAGCAAGAAACGCCTTTTTCTTTTACAATTATACACTCTTTGTCTGGAAGAGGGCGATACATAGTGTCAAATAATTGTGCGGCATAGTTAATCGATAAGTTGCAACATCAGGAAATTATCCTGACTAATAGTTCTAGCTATAGTAGCAGTGATCAGCATCTAAAATTATTGGTTCATTGCATACTGCTGATCCCTATTAACAGAAGAGATACAGACAATACGTAGAGCATTACAGTGATATCAGGATTAAACTCGTGCTGCATACTCTGCTGGATCAAAGGGGAGAACTGAATACGAGTACCTTCCGAGATATTTCTCGTTTTTGCAATTATGATTACTGTGGAGTTCCCTTTCTGTTGAGTAGGTATAGTTTGTTGAGTATATACTACTTTGACTGTTCTTCTTGTGATCATCTTGTAGAGTATGAGAAAATCAATCCAATTAAGTATGTGCCAGCACTACAAGATGGGGACATATTGGTTTCAGACTCTCTTGCAATCATATTGGTGAATAGTAGCTCCTCGTCATGTTTCTTATTGTTTGTGCTCCCGCCTTCTAGTGCTATTGACAACACAATTTCTTGCTTTCTGTTGAATAGTATCTGGAAGACAAATATCCCCAGCACCCTCTTTTACCTCAAGATCTGAAAAGGAAGGCTCTTAATCTGCAGGTACATGTTCTGCCAGTAGTCGTTTGAGTACTGACTTTAACTCATTCTTCTGTTCTCTGATTTTATAAACTGAAACCAACTGTTTCGATAAAGGGACCTTATACTGAAACCAACTGAAGTGTTCAATCAGTTTTCCATGCTATGTTTGCACCATACACTTAATGCTGAAAAGGGGAAAGGAGCAGCAAAGTTCTAGAAATGTCATGCTTCTGGTTACTTGTTTAATTATGCCAAACAAATGCACATTTATGGATTTCTTATTTTTTGCAGATTGCAAACATTGTGTGCTCGAGCATTCAACCTCTTCAGTGTTACGCTGTTATCGTAAGGTCACTTACACTCAGCTGTTGTTTGGCAAAACGTTGTTCTAAAATACTGGTGCAATATTCCAAACACAACCTTATTGTGAGCTATTTGTATCTAGGGGTTGATTAATGGCAAATTGGCCTCCGATGAGAGCCTTCAGATAGTGCATCATTACATTGACAAGGGATTTAGAGGTATGGTTTCCAACGCTCTGTTATCGACTTTTCTGTTTAACAGCATATCACCCATGTTTCCTTCAGCACATTTCTCTTACAACTCCAAAAGCGAAAGTTTACCATAACAAAGGGTGCTGTAGTACTCAACATTTTTGTCTCTTTCGTCATAGCAATTGAAAAACTTCTGGAAGGATGTGACAGTAAATTTGCTACTGGAGATGAAGTCCAACTGGTTTGTGCTTTGTGCTCAATTTTGTTTTTTGTTTTGATAAATATCGTGTTTATTCTAACAATATACTCCCTCCGTTTCAAAATAGATGACTCAACTTTGTACTAAAGTTAGTACAAAGTTGAGTCATCTATTTTGGAACGGAGGAAGCATATTTTAGATCAAGTCATTCTATTTCTCGACAACTTCCTGATACACTGATTATGCCCTCTCTGCTATATGCCTAAGATAGCAGATGCATTACAATTTGATTATCAATTCAGTCCCAGCTGGACACTTTAATTACTGAACCATTCATTGTAAGTTATTGACTAGTCTGTCCTTGTATATTTTGTTTCGCTGTACAGGCGGACGTGTTCCTTGCGCCCCAGATACACGCTGGCATGACGCGCTTCGACATCGACATGGTACGGAACCTCTCATCTGTTGTTTCAGTCTTCCACATGTAGAAATAAATCATCACCCTTGAATCAACTTCCTATGCTTATCTGCTGATAAGAAGCAATTGTTTCCTCGCAGTCGAAATATCCACATTTGGAGAGATTTTACAAAGCATACATGGAAATCCCAGCATTTCAAGCGGCACGCCCTGAAAACCAGCCAGACGCGCCTTCGCTCCCTCAGTGAAAAATGCAGCTATTTTTCGAGGCGTTTGTACTTTGTAATAAAACTCTGAGGTTCTTCTGGTGTCCATGGATGTACAAGAAGCTCGGTCTTGTAGAAGTGAATTAGTTGAGAATAATGCAATTCCCCTCAATGGGAAAAGAATATCAGGCTGCAGTTGATTTATCTGTATGTGCACTTCAGGTAAAGCAGGGCAGTCCAGTACTCTATCAGTGTGCTCATGAGTAATAAAATTGGAATGTCGTCTGTGTGTACTGCTGGGGTGAACATAGTGATGGTCTTCAACTCTGGATTGCCGATTTCAATATTTATATTTCGCCTATTTTCTCTGTGCAGTTGAAAAAACTGTAAAATATACTGCGAGGTTCCATTCGTTCGCGTCCAACCAAGGAGAATAACCTGGCGGCTTATGCCCCTGGAATCGAGTCCGCAGGCTGTTACATATGGATTTGGGCTGGAAGTAGCGTGTTTTGTGAATACGAGCAGCACGAAAGTCAGGGGAGAGAGGACAGGAACGTTTGATTCTTGGGTGTATATACATCCTATATGAAAAATCTTTAGTAATTCAATAAAAGGTAAAAAGAAATTGAAAATATTTTTGAAATAAACTTGGTCTTCCATTGTACTCGTAAAAATAATTCCATGAAAGAAAAACCGTCGTTGACTTCACGGTGAAAAAACAAAACATTAGGCCAAAAAAGTGTGAACAATGACTTCTATGTAGCAATAAGTTTTTTTTTTCATACTGAAGTCAACGGTGATTTTTTATTCATGAAAATTTATATACTAGTGCAAAAGTAAGTCAAGATTATTCCAAAAAGAACTCTGGATTTTCTTTAATTCTAAAAAAAATCATATTAAGTTTATATACACCAAGGAATCAAAGGGCTTTTCCCGGGGAGAGAGGTATAGACACGCGCGTGCCTACACCATACGAAGAAGGAAGAATAAACAGGGGTAGATATGATCTAGAACAACGTTTCGATTGGCTATGTCTACGATTAGGGTGGTAGGCATAAGTTGAAGCTTTATGAACACCGTTCTACTCCCGTGGTCCTGAATAATCTACACACTAAAATACGGCTAACTACACTCATTTCAGCAACAGTTAATTTCGGACGAGGTAGCACACTAGGGACCACTATTGATATTTTTGTTAGATTGTATACTTTACAAATATCTATCATGATATCTAATTATATTAATTTATATATGAACACACACACATGCAAATATATTTTATATAATATATAGGTAATGTTTTTTAAAAAATGATTTTTTTGTTATATCATACAATTTAATTTAGGAGAAATTAAATTTTAGTGATATATAATAAAACTTCATAATGCGCTATAATTATTATTGAAAAACACTTCTATGTTGTTACTTATGCTCGCTAAGGAATGGAAAAATTGTATTAAGTAAAACTATGGTATCATACAACTAGTTTAAATAAGTATAAAAGTTTATTATAAAAATATATATTACCATGCTTTAAGTCCAAAAAATATTCTGGTTTATTTGGTCCAACCAAATTAAGTTTTGGACATTGTCCATCCACTTGCGAGCCTGTTATTCTCTGCTCTTGACGTTTTATCCCGTTTTCATTTATTTGGCCCAAACTTTTTCAAAATAGAATTTTTTGTTCATATAATTTATTTCCGTTCATATTAATTGCCCGCTAGGCTCTCTCAAGCACACAACTACGGGTCAATGCAAATGTGTATATGTTTATAATAAAACATTTTGAATAGAGCCCTACATTTTGGAGGATCATGAACACTAAGCAGTTTGGGTCAGAGAACCCATACTCTTACATGGCTGTACATCCCGGTCATGGTCACCACGAAATTAATATCATATTCGAGTTTGAATATGTGGTCGTCTTTATTATCCACGTCCCCACCGACTTTTATTGAAACACTCTCATCGACATCATCATTGTTGTGGTCACAAGCATGTCGTTGCTTGGATGGTTGTTTAACATGGTAGTCTTCAGGAACGTGTGGTCACACACTTATATGGGATGGACGACAATATTTTTTGGCGTCACCATGTATCTGATGCCTATCTTCGAAACGGTAACTAAGCATAATCACATTCCATACTATGGTGTCTTGACAAAGTTATGCACTAATTTGTTTGTGAGTGAGTTTGCATAACTTTGCTTTGAAGAATGCCGATCTAGGTAGATTCTCACTGTTCTAGTCTGCGGTAACTATGGCAAATGGACAATGTGGACTGCATATGCCCTTGTGGGCCGGAACATAACATGGTTGGTAATGATTTGGCTATGGCTACATGCATTCTTATACTGTGAAGTGTGTATCTCGCTCAACGTGAATGTATCTTCCATCTCACTAAAGGATTTCCTGACACGTGCAGCTACTGGGTCAACTCATTTTCGTCTATTTTTTCTTTGCTAGGTTTTGATTGAGTTCATTGGGTTCCGCTAGGTTTCGTTCGTTGTGTCTTTTCGTTGTTTTTCCTTTTGGTGTTTTTGTTTCTTCACTGGTTTTTCTTTACTTTTCTGTTTTCCTTTGGTTTTTGACCAGTTTTGTTCATTACTTTCTCGATTTTCACTGATCTTTCTTCCTTTGTTTGTTTTTCAGTGGTTTTCTCTCTTTCTTGGGTTTCTTTATTTTCTTTGGGTTTATTTTGTTTATTTGCCGCCTTCCATCGGGGTTTCTTTATTTTCTTTGGGTTTCTTTTTTGGTTTTATCGGTTTTCCTAGTTTTCACAACCGTTCCACTGTTTGGCATCAATTTCTTTAGTTTTTTTTCCTCGTTTTGTTTTTCATTTTTTTAGTTTTATTTGTTTCTATACTTGTTTATCTTAGGCTTTTTCGTCTTCATTTTTCACCATGTTCCACTATTTTGCACCGGTTTCTTTGCTTTTCCCTTTCCCTTTCCCTTTCCCTTCTCTTTTTATTTGGTTTTCTTTGTTTCTTTCCGGTTTTTTGGTTTATTGACAACACAATTTCTTGCTTTCTGTTGAGTAGTATCTCGAAAACAAATATCCCCAACACCCTCTTTTACCTCAAGATCTGAAAAGGAAGGCTCTTATGTAGGAATTGATGACCCACAAGTATAGGGGATCAATTGTAGCTCTTTTCGATAAGTAAGAGCGTCGAACCCAACGAGGAGCAGAACAAAATGACAAGTAGTTTTCAGTAAGGTAATATCTGCAAGTGCCGAAATTGTAAGTAGTAGAGTAGTTTGATAGTAAGAGAATTTGTAACGAGCAAGTAACGATAGTAGTAGCAAAAGTGCAGCAAGGTAGCCCAATACTTTTGAGGCAAAGGACATGCCAAAACGGTCTCTTATGATAAGCAAAGCGTTCTTGAAGGTACATGTGAATTTCATCTAGTCACTTTCATCTTGTTGGTTTAATTCGTGTTCGCTACTTTGATAATTTGATATGTGGGTGGACTGGTGCTTAGGTGTTGTTCTTACTTGAACAAACCTCCTACTTATGATTAACCCTCCCGCAAGCATCCGTGATACGTCTCCGTCGTATCTACTTTTCCAAACACTTTTGCCCTTGTTTTGGACTCCAACTTGTATGATTTGAATGGAACTAACCGGGACTGATGCTGTTTTCAGCAGAATTGCCATGGTGTTGTTTTATGTGCAGAAAACAAATATTCTCGGAATGACCTAAAACTCCACGGAACATCTTAGAAAAAATAATAAAAAATCCTCGCCAAATATGAAGACCAGGGGGCCCACACCCTTCTCACGAGGGTGGGCCCCCCCTAGGGCGCTCCCCCTACCTCGTGGGCCCCTTGGATGCCTTCCGACGCCAACTCCAACTCTATATATTTGCTTTCGGAGAGAAAAAATCAGAGAGAAGAAATCATCGCGTTTTACGATACGGAGCCGCCGCCAAGCCCTAAAACCTCTCGAGAGGGCTGATCTGGAGTCCGTTCGGGGCTCCGGAGAGGGGCATTCGTCGCCGTCGTCATCATCAACCATCCTCCATCACCAATTTCATGATGCTCACCGCCGTGCGTGAGTAATTCCATTGTAGGCTTGCTGGACGGTGATGGGTTGGGTGAGATTTATCATGTAATCGAGTTAGTTTTGTTAGGGTTTGATCCCTAGTATCCATTATGTTCTGAGATTGATGTTGCTATGACTTTGCTATGCTTAATGCTTGTCACTAGGGCCCGAGTGCCATGATTTCAGATCTGAACCTATTATGTTTTTCTGAATATATGTGAGTTCTTGATCCTATCTTGGAAGTCTATAGTCACCTACTATGCGTTATGATCCGGCAACCCCGAAGTGACAATAATCGGGACCACTCCCGGTGATGACCATAGTTTAAGGAGTTCATGTATTCACTATGTGCTAATGCTTTGTTCCGGTTCTTTATTAAAAGGAGGCCTTAATATCCCTTAGTTTTCAATAGGACCCCGCTGCCACGGAAGGGTAGGACAAAAGATGTCATGCAAGTTCTTTTCCATAAGCATGTATGACTATATACGGAATACATGCATACATTACATTGATGAATTGGAGCTAGTTCTGTGTCACCCTATGTTATGACTGTTACATGATGAACCGCATCCGGCATAATTATCCATCACTGATCCGGTGCCTACGGTTTTTCCATATACTGGTTTACGCTTATATACTTTCCCGCTGCTACTGTTACAATCACTACAAAATACCAAAAACATTACTTTTGATGTCTTTACTTTTGTTGCCGCTACCACCACTATCATATTACTGTGCTACTAAACACTTTGAAGCAGATACTAAGTTTCCAGGTGTGGTTGAATTGACAACTCAGCTGCTAATACTTGAGAATATTCTTTGGCTCCCCTTGTGTCGAATCAATAAATTTGGGTTGAATAGTCTACCCTCGAAAGATGTTGCAATCCCCTATACTCGTGGGTTATCAAGACAGATTTCTGGCGCCGTTGCCGGGGAGCATAGCTCTATTCTTTGAGTCACTTGGGATTTATATCTACTGGACACTATGAAGAACTTGAG